CACAACTTGCAGCGCCCAGAGACTGTTGAGAGCCTGTTCTACATGTGGAGAATCACCGGAGATCAGAAGTACCGTGACTGGGGCTGGGAGATGTTCAAGTCTTTCGTCAACTACACCTCGGTCGAGGATGGCGGTGGCTTCACCAGTTTGAGCAACGCCAACACAATTCCCCCAGTCGTCCGTGACAATCTGGAAAGTTTCTGGATGGTAAGCTGCATGCTCCTAGCTTTGAGAAAGTGGTTGCTAACGTGCTGCATCAGGCCGAGACTCTCAAGTATTTCTATCTCCTCTTCTCTCCCAACGACCTGCTCCCCCTGGACAAGATTGTCCTCAACACGGAGGCGCATCCCCTCCCTCGCTTCGATATGGGCAAGCTCTTCAGCACGGGATGGTCGCGCAAGCCCAGGGAAAACGGCAAGCTCAAGGTGCAGCCATGGGCTTGATTTGATATGCTTGGCTGATGAGGATCCATGTCTTGACTGCGTTGTTGTTTTTCGTCATCTACTGCTACCCCGTCTTGGAATGAACAAGCAAGTGTGGGATATTTATGTTTATACTACAGCATGACTGTGTCTACGGAGGCATCCATACCGCCTAGCACAGGTGGCGTTGTACAAGGAGTGATTTGGGTTTTTAGAAAACGTGTTGTTGAAAGAAACGTTTCCTGTGGATGTCATTGGAAGATTGTAAGCGTGCGTTCGGGTTGACGAAGCATTGTGGTGTAGCTTGATTCACATGATGGAAGTCATAACGCAGCCGTTGATTTAAGGAATAATTGGTGGTACAGCCTCCAAGACCAGCCTCTGGACTTCGAAGTAGCGAATACTGAGATCATCTACGAAACACAGGAACGGAATTACAGAAACATGTCACAGGCGGCGGTGGAGATTGATTCTCTAATGTCCGCTACAAGTAACACGCTCGATGAAACTCAAGACAGCTCGTATGCTGCGAGGCGCAGACAAGTATTATCTACAGAACAAAACAGTAAGATATGTGCCAGAACTGGTCATATTAAACCGCCGCCGCGCTGCTTGCCAACGCAAGACGGCCTGGGCGCCGAGGAAATGGGATGAGTTTGGCTGACAGCCTGCCGAGGGGGCCTAATCCGTGCGTGCGCGGGGGTGTCAGTTGTCAAAGCAAACGCAAGCACGAACAAACGTTGCGGGACGAGCCGATCTTGCGCAGTATGTCGAAGAGGTAAAGCGAAGCTTAGAAGAGACGACACAAGGCGTAACGCTAGGTTGTTATGCGAATCGTTAAAAGCCTGAGCAATTCCCAAATGGGTGTAAGAGGTCACGGATACAATCACTGAAGAATCGAGAAGCAGGGGATGGCGAGCGAGGGGTCTCCCGTCGTTATGGCACTGCAGCTGGCCAGTGCGGTGTACAAATCTCTTTCGCATGTCAGTCAGTGGATCGAAAGGTGGGAGGCGGGCAATGCTGGACAGTGGGCGCTGGAGCACCCCCATAAGGCGCCCCCGGACAAGCATGTGCCTCCCCTTGCCGATTGCGACGATGCGGGAAGCGAGGATACCAAGAACGAGATGGAGATAAACGGGAGACAATGGTGTGGGTTTTCTTTACATGTACCACACACATGTTCGTACACACCACATCCATCATCAGCAGCGCGGGATGTGACACTTCAAGGGAGAGAACCAGAGATAGACACGCCCTGGAAGGAAGCTAAAAGGATTCATTCGGGGGCCTGGGCCGCGGCGACTCGTCCCCCCATTCGCCGAACGAACCTTGACCACCCCAGCCCGGCCTTTAACCCGTTCGAGGATGTCGTTCGTCTTGTCGCCGACAGGTTGGATGGATTGGCGTTGCGGGCAACATCCTTGTCGCCAGATAGCAGCGAAAGGCACCCTTTCCCGCCGCCAGCCCATCCTCTCTCGACGCCAATGCGGCAACTGGACTGCGCTGCTTCGGTGTGCCACAGCCGCAGCAGCATGATAAGCATCTCCCTACACGGGCGAGTCACCCAACCCCCTTAGGTAGCCAGGCTCCTTTACGTCGCGCCGTTGTTTCTTAAATCTTTGGATTGCAATCTCGCGAAACCAGGCGATCTGCTGCGACGACGAAGCACGATACCCGACGTACGACTCGAACCGCCCGACGACCTTTTCCCAAACGACCAAAACCACCACCCCGTTCTCTTCTGCGACAGGCATGAGGTCCTTCACGGAGCTAACAGACGCCTAAAGTCCGTTAGCCACGCCGATCGATCGAAACGTCCAATATCGCAAGCGAGTCGGAATCACGGTACCAGTCCCGAGCCGACGACGATCGACGAACCCTGCGACGAAGCGGTGTAAACCCAAAGAGAACCCTATACCCTGCCCGCGGAGCCTTGCCCACCACAAGCAGCAACGGGAATGGCGCCGTACAACGAAGACGTGGAACTCAGCACGCTCAAGATAAAGGAAGACTCCCTCACGCTGGGGAGCAGCTACAGCATGCGGCGCGAACCGATCTACGACCCGTCCCCGGCGCCGGGCGTCTTCGCCCGCGTGCTCGAGTCCTTCCGCCGCGACCCAGGCCAGCACCCGCGGCCGAAGCACTCGTCCATCGACATGGAGGAAGCCGGCGGCGGCGAGGAGCGCGTCCTCAACGGCGTGCACTACTTTGACATCCACCACGCCAACCTGCAGACCTCCAACTCGCTGCTGTCGAGGAAGCTCAAGGGCCGCCACCTGCAGATGATTGCCATCGGCGGGTCCATCGGCACGGGCCTGTTCGTGGCATCAGGGACGGCGCTCGAGGTCGGCGGGCCGGCGTCGTTGCTCATTGCGTTTTCGCTGGTCGGCGGCATGCTGTATTGCACCTGCCAGGCCCTGGGAGAGCTGGCCGTTGCGTTCCCCGTTGCGGGTTCCTTTTCGGCGTATTCGACGCGGTTCCTGGATCCCTCGTGGGGGTTTGCAATGGGGTGGAAGTGAGTTCACTCTTACATGTCCGCATCGTCGACTTCAGACTAACGCCTCACAGCTACGCCTTACAATGGCTAATAGTGCTTCCCCTTGAGATCATAGCCGCCTCCATAACGATAACGTACTGGGATGGACGCATCACCAAAGCGATATTCGTCACAATCTTCTTGGTCGGCATCATAGCCATCAACCTATTCGGCGTAAAAGGATACGGCGAGGCCGAGTTCATCTTTTCAATCATCAAAGTCATAGCCGTGATTGGCTTCATGTAAGTCCTATACACACGCCCTCGATAAGTTTGTCTCTCATTAACACGCGCCCTCAAAGCCTCCTCGGAATCGTCCTCAACTGCGGCGGCACCCCAGATTCGGGCTACATAGGCGGCCGCTACTGGCACGATCCGGGCGCGTTCCACAACGGCTTCAAGGGCCTCTGCAGCGTATTCGTCACAGCGGCCTTCGCCTTCGCCGGCACCGAGCTCGTCGGCCTCGCGGCAGCCGAGACAGCCAACCCGCGCAAGTCCCTGCCGACCGCCATCAAGCAGGTCTTCTGGCGCATCACGCTCTTCTACGTCGTCGCCCTGACGCTCATCGGCCTCCTGGTCCCGTACAACGAGAAGCGCCTGCTGGGCGCCACCTCCCCCGCGGACATCACCACCTCGCCCTTCGTCATCGCCATCGAGAACGCAAAGATCGACGTCCTCCCGTCCGTCATGAACGCCGTCATCCTCATCGCCGTCCTCTCCGTCGGCAACTCCGCCGTCTTCGGCTCCTCGCGCACCCTCGCCGCCCTCGCGGACCAGCAGCAGGCGCCCCGCTTCCTCTCCTACGTCGACCGCAAGGGCCGCCCCCTGACCGCCATCGGCGTCGCCTCCGCCGTCGGCCTCATCGCCTACCTCGCCGACCTCGACGCCCAGGACGAGGTCCTCGACTGGCTCCTCGCCATCTCCGGCCTCTCCTCCGTCTTCACCTGGGCCTCCATCTGCCTGTGCCACATCCGCTTCCGCCACGCCTGGCGCGCAAAGGGCCACGGCCTGCACGAGCTCGCCTTCCGCTCCCAGGTCGGCGTCACCGGCTCCTACTGCGGCCTCGCCATGAACATCCTCGTCCTCATCGCCCAGTTCTGGGTCGGCGCCTTCCCCGTCGGCTGGGAGAACGAGGAGGCCTCGTGGGTCGCGCGCAACTTCTTCCTGCGGTACGCCGCCTTCCCCATCGTCGCTATATTCTACATCGCCCACAAGCTCTACTTCCGCACCACCTTCATCCAGACCGACGCCATGGACCTCACGACGGGGCGGCGGGACTTTAACCTCGGCATCCTCGTCGCGCAGGAGGAGGAGGAGAAGAGGACGTGGCCGAGGTGGAAGCGCGTCTACAAGTTTTTGTGCTGAGTTTTCGTGTGTATGATGATTTTCTTTGGTTGGAAATTGTAAGCGATGGGATATTAGCGCGGCGTTTTGGATGCCATGGGAAACTTTTGATGGATACCAGTTTTTAGGAGGGATGTTTCCTGGTCTCAGACCTTTGGCAATAATGAAATGACATGTTCTCAAGCTCGTCCGTCTGCGTTGCGTGCTTGCTCCGCCGGTTTCCAAACATGTTACATCGTCCATTGGCACGGAGGCGGCCCGGGCCTAGTCTAGGTGCACAGGTGGGCATCTCACGTGGAACTAGAAAGCGTTGAGTGAATGGGAATAAGTTGTCTGTTGGATATCATGGGCTTTGCAACTTTACAATAACAGAGGGCCCTGTTTTCCTCTCCTCACTCGTCAACACCCCTGATCCAACGCAACTTTCTCTCTCTCCTCCCCACACCGCGGCATGGGAGGGGGCCAATACACATTCTCACATCCAGGCATTTCTCGGCCAGGCATCCCTCCAAAGAGTTGGGCGGGCGCTGGACCGCTCTGGAGTAAACAAGACAAGGTCTGGTAATATCGCAACAATAAACGCTCCCGTGAATCGTGGGCAGCATGCAAGACATCTGAGTCGTAACAAAACAAAGAAGGGTGGCCCCTGAGGTCTTACGCGTATGGTGTATGCGGCGGGGGCCGATCTAGAGGCGTCGATTAAAAGTCCCAGAAGCTCTTCTGAGCCGCGGTTAGACTAGCGGGCTTGGAACCTCCCTTGGGCGGAACGGCCTTGGGGGTGTCCTCCTCGTCATCCCCACCGTACAGCCAGTTGCGGTTGGTGCCCTTCCTGCCGCCCATACCATCGCCGGCAATGTTGATACCACGCTTGTCGCCGTCCTGGTCTTCGACCGCCTTTCTGGAGCCCATGCCATCGCCAGCAATGTGAATGCCGCCCTTGGCCTTGCCCGTGGGCGCCGGCTCAATGTTTTCCTTCTGGGATGCCGGGGACCGGTCGTAGGATTCCCAGTTGGCGTTCATCATGTTCACCGCCTTCTTGCGAGAGTCGCTAACACCAGGCCGTTGCTGAAGGCCGGCTTGCTGGCTAGGAGAGTCGTCAGACATGGCGAAATGAGGGTCAAAGTCCTTGTGGCGGTTGTTCAGATTGGTGATGTTACCAAGGGCCTGGTCAGAATCGGTTCCAGGCAAGGGCTTGCCGTCCTCGCTGTACAGGTTGTTCTCGTAGAGGTGCAGGCCTGTGTTGTGCGCGGCGCCCTTGGGGCGTCCGGCGGGCCGAGGCTGGCCATCAGGACCGTCATCCTGGAACTCAAAGTGCGGCTCGGCATCGCGGCGGGGCTTCTGCTGAACGGGACGGGCCGCGGGGGTGTCCTTCAAGTCGGTGTGGCCCACGTCAGTATCCCAGTGGCGCACATCCTGGGTGCGGAGAGTCTTGGTAGGCTTGACCTTTTGAGGGGTGACGAAGTCTTCGAAGCCCCAGCTGCTGTCGTGCTTGCCGGCCTTGGGACGGCCGTCGGCGGGCTTGGGGGTGTCTTGCGGGTCCGAGCCGTCGGCGAAGTCAAAGTGCTGGAACTTCTTGGGGTTGGGACGGATGAACTTCTCGGGTGACGTCTTCTCCTCGGGACTGTCGGGGACGTGGGCGTGCTCGTCAGCATCGAACAGGCGGCTGGGCTGGAAGTTCTTTCCGGCACCGATCTTGGGAGCAACGCGATCGCGTCCTGCGCTGGGAGAGGTGGGCTCGTCGGCAGGCTCGTGGCTCATGATATCGTTGAAAGACCGCTGCTGAGGTCGGGTACCCGCATAAGGTGACACGATGGACCTGGCCGGGCTCTCTTCAACCTGCTGCTCCCTCGGCGCAAACAGAGAGAGGGAGGCATGAGGGTCGCGGAGGGCATTGGTCGAGCTGCCACGGGACCGGTTGATGAGCTCGTTGGTGTCGGGAGCGTCGGTGACCTTGCCGGTAGCCTTCAGGCCCCTGGTGATCATCTTGATCTGCTCCTGGCTATCACGGATGGGCCAGTTGCGGCCGGACTTTCCGATAATGTCGAGCTGCTTAAGGAGTGATCCTTGGTCCCAGCTTTGGCGGATCTGGGCGATCTTGCCCTCGCTGTCAAAGTTGACGACGTGCATCTGTGAAGGGCCCCAGGTTAGCTCGGTTGCGCACTCAAGGGCAGGCTCCTTGGAGCGCGGGGCAGGACAAACAATGGGCAGGTGGACGGTGCGGTCAGCCAGGAAGTTGTCGTCAAGCCCAGGCAGGTAGGCACCTCCGCTGGTTACAAACTCCAGCGAAGTCTCAATCTCGGCGGCGATGGCATCGCGACCCTCAACGACGTCGAGGATGTCCTCCTTCTTCTTCTTCAGCTGGTTGCGCTGGGTGTTGAGGTGCTTGATGATGTCGGTAGGTCCATTAATGGTCGTGGTGGTGGTGATGTAGAGGAGGGTGGCGTTCGGCGCGAGCAGCGACGAGTTGGGAGCAGCCAGAAACTGCTTGTACGTGGCAGACATGTTGCCGGCGTCGTAGGTGTATTCGGGTGAAGAATGCGACGGCGATGCGATGCGACAGAGGGTAGGGTATTCGTTTGTTTACTTGATCCTTGTGGGGTTTCGCAGCTGCTAGAGTGCACGGCTCGAGGGGCCCAAGCAGATACGGCAGAAGAAAGCAGAGCAAGCCAGCGGAGGGACAAGAGGCATGAAGGAGTCGACGGCGACACTCGATGTAGAAGTGAAAAAGAAAGGAAAAAAACAACGGATGGAGAACGTGTGGGTGGCTCAGCCCAAAACAAGCAGTGGCAGACCAGACGAGTTGTTCTGGAAGGGGGAGAGGGAAAATGAAGGGATGGGCCTGCGACAAGGGAGCGACGAGGAAGGGGAAAGCGCGACACGTCCCACGCTCATGCCCACGCTTGCCTTCCATGTTGGAGGAGGCACCATGGGAGGGGCCCGTTTCTGGCAGGCCCCCCAGAGTCAGCGCCGTCCTGCCATTGGATCACGACTGACTACCTCAGTACCTTAGCTACATTACACTACCTAGGCTGCTGGGAAGACAAAGGGGACGGAGGGGGAGGAGCATTATTTGCCGGCCTAAAAGAGTACCTGCAAAGAATGCTGCCCAGTCGCGCGGTGCTGCCCCGTGTCAGAATGTCATTCCTTAGCAACGGCCCGCAGCAATACCACCAAGCTTCAATAGAGTTTCCCATCGATCTCTGTTTGCATTGCATCCCGCCGCCCAAGAACACGGCGACATGACTCCGTCCTGCTCCTTGCCTGCGGGAACGACGTCAAGCTCCCCAAACATGTTCGGGACCCGAAGAAAGCCTCGACTTGTCATGTCACAGAAACCCGTCGAGTGGTTTGCGCCCAGCATCGATACCCCGTCGTCCGCGAGGCACTTTGACAATTTGCGAATCTGGGGGCTAAAAGATCCGCGACCCGTGATGCGGTGAAACAATCAGATACGCGAACATATCCACTGCCCTTCCGTCATTGACTCTTATCTAAGCCGCCATCAAACCCGCCCAACGTAAGCTTGCATCGGCGCTGCTGTGTTGTTGTTGCCGCAGAGTTTGGGTGGCAAAACTATCTCACCACGAGCCTCAGCAAATACACGTTTTTGACACGGAAACTCAACAGCACATGGTTGCCCGGGAAAGCCACCGTGGCTCCCCGACTGGCACGTCTATCTAAACACACGGAAGCTCGGCTCTGTCGCGTCAAGTGAAGTCAACAACGACAGCAAGATAAAGGGGCGCGACCGTTACTGCGGTCTCGCTATAAACAGCAGACGTCCATCTCGTCCAATGAAAAGAAGTCGCCGATCCGGTGGTAATACGCCTCAATATGGACGGATATGCACAAAATGCATCAGAACCACTCTCGAATGCAGGTCATGCAAAAGCGCCTTGTCCCCGCTGCCTTTTAGCAGCTGGCTAGCAGCCTGTCAGGCCTGTGGTTGGGCATGTTTCATCCCGGTCCCCTGTTTCATCCATGCTGTCCTCCCAAATGGGTTAGCTCTGCCGTTTCCAGCCCAGTGTCTCCAGCGATGCTCCAAGCAATTATTGGGGATCACCAACAAGGCAAGCTTCCAGACAACTCGAGCTCACGGTTGTCTCTTTTGCAATCTGTTTGAATTGGCGAAGCATTATTGCAGAACGAGACTAAGACTGGGCTGATTAAGTTACCCCGCAAAGAGGCTTGCATCGTCGGGTGTAAAGCCGGAGATTAAACGGGTCATACGTCATTCATCTGGTTGCACCAGCTAATTACTAGACTAGTGTACATGCCCTGCCTACTGTTCGGGAGTGTGCAATTCTCACGACTTAACCGTTGACGATGGTTCCGCCGTTGCAGTGAATTGTCTGGCCGCTGATGCATGAACTGTCAGTCGACGCGAGGAACACTACGCAGGTTGCAATCTCAGAGGGCTGCGCTGGACGACCCATGGGGGCGGTGAATTGCTTCTGTGCTTCCTCGTTCATCGTGGCAGGGATGAGCGGCGTCCATACAGGTCCTGGGGCGATGGCATTGACACGAATGCCCTTGTCGACGAACTGGTTGCTCAGGCCTCGTGTGAACGAGATGATGGCACCTTTCGTTGAGGTGTAGTCGAGCAGGTCTGGACGGCCGATGTAGGCGTTGATGCTCGCGTTGTTGATGATGGTTGAACCCTTCTTCATGTGAGGCAACGCATACTTGGAGAGGTAGAAGAAGGAGTGGATGTTGACGTTAAACGTATGAACCCATTGGTCCCTGAAAACACCGTCAGTGATCGAGTCTCGAGCATAGAAAGGTCATTGAGACGCACTCGGAGAGATCCTTGATGTTCTCCTTCATCATCTGGTATGCGGCGTTGTTGAACAAAATGTCGATTCCGCCCATCTTTTCAATCGCAGTATCGACGACCTTTTGGCAGTTTGCGCGGTCAGTGAGGTCAGTGGGAACCAGGTAGCACTTTCGGCCGTAGGCCTCGACGCGCTTCTTCGTCTCCTGGGCATCCTCCTCCTCCTCCTTTAGGTAGGCGATGAGCGAGTCGGCACCCTCCATTGCGAACAGAATGGCAGAGGCTCGGCCAATACCGGAGTCGCCGCCTGTGATGATGGCCTTCTTGTCCTTGAGCTTTCCAGCGGCTTGGTACAGCTTGGAGCCGCCATCGCCGTCTGGAATGCGATCAAACTGAGGGGTGACGGGCAGCTTTCCCTCCTTTCCTGGGAAGCTCTGATCCGTCACCGGGACGCTGTGGCCTGGTGGTCAATTAGCGCAGGTTCTGTGACAGAGGCATTGTGTATCATACCCTCTTGAAATTGAGACTTGTCCGTCATCTTGGCGCGAGTGCGTTCGTGTAGTCTTGATTTGCAGTATGGACTGGAGAAACTCTGAAGTGTGGTGTTTGGGTAAAGTGCAAATTGTAAAATAATCACCGTCGGACGATTGAGATGAGCTCGAAAGCGGTTTCGTTCTGTATATGTCTTCGACCCGAGGAAGGCATGGTGCAGGCGGGTTATCCACATACCTCATCATCGACGTCATCGTGACTGCAATTGCAGGAACATTACACGGTCGACGCCCAGGCGCTACTCCCTTGCCCGTCATGGTGCATGCACCAAATTCAGTGTCCTTGCGGCAAAAGACTGTGCAGTCTTGCGGGTGGCCTTGGCCGGAGCCTTTACTCCAGGATGCCATATTCACTCAACGGTATCTTCTTTTTGAGGAATCGATTGATGTATTCAATTGTTTCTATACTGCTCCTAGTGGTTTTCCACGTCCACGTGGGTAAGAAACAACAGTTATGGGACGCAGCATTGTGCAGGACTCCCATCAACTGATTCAAAGGGTCTCGCTACGGTAATGTCGACGTAATGACTTCGATCGATCGAGCCTCCCAGCCTCCGGAGACTTCGGCCGGAAGGTCTGTGCATCTCGGCCCCGCCTCCGCATTCCAGACCCACGTCTCGAACGGCGACCGGCGTCAATGTGGGGCATTTCTCAGAACATCTATCGGAGGTCCCCAGGCCTGATGAACGCCCGAAGCACGCTTACCAAGCTCCGATTACTTGTCATGTTACTTTTCGCGGCCGTACCCCTCACACCTCCGCTGTTCAGCCACTTGTGTCCTGAAGCGAGAGGGGACCCACGTTCGCAACGTCATAATCTGACCATCAAACTAGAACGCTTTCTTTTTCCTCGACGGCTCGACCTCGGGCCAAAAAGTTTCATTTTCCAGAGGCCAGCACAGGCGCGATGGCAATACGGCATATTAGAGCTGTTATTAGCAGTCCAGCCTTCTGATTTCCTGCGTTGAGTGTGCCCAAGCAAAATTAGAGGGGTTCAAGGACACAATAGTGACTCTGGTGACTCCTGAATCTGATATCCACGGGCAGCTTATGGTGGTCTCGACACGACACCACGAGACAACTTCTCTGCGCCATTTCTCAAGGCTAGACATTGCCCGACATAGTCCGAACGTGGCTGGCAAGCCGTTCCCGACTCCCGAGAGACATTTTGCAAAAGACTTGAGGAGATGAAGAAAAGAAACCGAGCGAGTCAGTAGCGGCGCATAATTGCCAAAGTAGCGGATACTGAAGAGGGTCTCCGGGCCACTCAAAGATACTTTTAACTGACGAGTCATTTTTTTTTTGGCTGACCATTTCTCGTGTATCGGGTCCAACAACAGCGACGACGAAAATACTCTTCAAATCAATCGCACGAGAAACCACAAAAGAAAGGAACAGGCTGCAGGATTTCGACAGAGTTTTCTTTGTACGCGGCCTCGGCCAGGGCAACGAAAACTTGATGGCCCGGCCCAGTGCGGTTCATCCCACATCAATGCATTGTGCAGCCGGGGAACCAGGGACGGACGAGGAGCGCCGGGTCCGCTTCGTGAGCTGTCACCTCGACACGATCAGATCTCGACGTCGCCCTGGGCGTCTCGCAACCTGAAGCACAGCATGATGCCGCGCAGGCCGGGTCACATCAAAGGCCTTCCTCGAGTACGGTTCGGCCGGTAGGCTGCCCCAAGCTCTTGTCAGATGCAACCTTTGAGACGTTGGCAGGCAAACATGTCCCGCTCCGAATGCCACCGCGGCACCTGCCCAGCATCAAGAGATCTGCCCCAGTAAGAACCCTCGGTATCGTGACTGGCACAGTTGCCCTCTTCCAATCGATTGGCGAGATGAACCCTCGGCCCCTGCCTCCGGAGGTCCCCCGGGCCTGTGCCACCCTGACCTCCACCACGACTTCCCCTCCGCATAGCGCCAACACGTTTCTTTTTTCTCTTGCCCATCCCACGAAGCAACCGTCAGCCGTTACGAATATACGGCCAGAATCCGATCCTTTCTGCTCACAGTCCGGGTCCTCTGCTCATTGCCCACTCTGTTGCATTTGACAGGTCACTTGAAGTCTTGGACTCTTGCACCGGCTTGGCCTGGGCCGTCTTCCCCGTTGGGCGCCCACATTTTCGACAACCTCGCAGGCCAAGCGCTCACGACCGTTGGCCGATCAATCCGACTTGC